GTTGGTCATTGGAGTCAATTTCGCACAGTTAGTATCCTCTCTGCGACTTGAATGAGCACAATGATTGTGGACACTCTGTGGTTCCAAACGTTGAGCAACTTTATGATCACAGCACTTATGATCCATCTCTCGTTCCTCGTTGAGTGGATTACTCCATTTAGAGAAACTGTGCTTTTTGGCAGAGTTCGAGCATTTCATGATTCCACACTTATTGGACGAGCATGTTTTAGCCTCACACTTCTTTTGCAATTCATCAGAACAAGAAGGCTTATGATTATTTGAAGAACGGTAACTTATAGTCTTGCATTTATGTCTGTGGACATGCGTCTGACAACATTTTTTACCGTGTCTTGTCTTTCCTAGTAGCAGCATACTATTAAAGATAACTAACAAGCACGTCCCCACGTCTGTAAGAACTGCAGCCCAAACTAATGGATGACCAGCAATGGCCAATCCTAATATTGCAGCCTTGGTTGTAATTGCTATTATCACATTCTCAGTGACTTTCCTTAGGACCTTTCGGGCAATATGTGCAGCTTTTGGTATCTTCGAAATGTCATTCGACATGAGAACTACGTGTCCCGCTTCTGTTGCAAGCGCAGAGCCTGAAACACCCATTGAGATACCTATATTTGCGGTAGCTAATGCAGGAGCATCATTCACACCATCACCAATCATGGCTGTTCGACCTTCCTTCTGGAGCTCTTTAATAATTCTTGCTTTATCTGCTGGTAGCAGTTCTGAATGAACAATTTCTAAAGCACCCCCTAACTGCAGAAAAATGCATTCGATTAGTTCATCTTGTTTAACAGTATGAATGCCTAAGCATTGTACTACGTCTCGTGCTTTGTTTATATACTTAAAAGTGCATTGAAATTTAGAATATGAAATAAAAATAAAATAAAAAATTTCAGAAACAAAATTTAGCACCTTTTTCTGTGCATCAGGTAAGAAAACTGAAAAATAATAAAAATCAGTTAACGAACTAGTTATCTTGTTCTTCAAAAGCACTGAAATAAATCTCAGCTTCATTTCCTAAAGGCAAAGCTTCAAGGATTTTATACCTGATATCTTCTTTATTATGTCTCATTATAACAAGTAGAAATAAATGTTTACCAAATTACAAGCAGTTTTGGATTCTTATTTATCTAGATGAAAACGTGCTGTTGCAGATAAGAATACATAGAAATAGATCATGTAAAATGGAGGCGTTACCTGATCTTGTGCATGCTTGGCAGCTTCATAACAATCACCAGTGAGCATAACAGTTTTAATGCCCATCGAATTCAGCTCTTTTAAGGCTTCCTTTGATCCTGTTCTACATACATCAGAGAGACTGAAGACGCCAGCAAGGGACGATCCCAAGAAAATGTAACCTACAGACTTTCCTTTTAGATTATGACCGTCTATTGCTGGAACTGGATGACAAAAGTGAATAACGATTAGTGCTTAACAAGAAAAAATTTACTTCTAAGTTTTTACTTTTATCTGCAGCATTAGTGTCAAAGTAAAGTTCAAGGACACAGAGGTCTAGTTCACCTGAGGTATACCCTGCTCTTGAAGATATTTTCCAGTTTCCAATATAGATTTCGTTATCTTCAATTTTCCCACAAATTCCTTCGCCAGGAAAGTTTTCAAATTTATCAACTTGGTCAGACTTCGGCTCAATAGAATGTTCTCTTGCAAAGTCTATCAGAGCAGTTGCCATTGGATGGCTTGATTTGCTCTCAATGCTTGAAACCCTTGTAATATTCATTGGAGATATTCAAATTTCATTTAAGAAGAATATTGCGTACTTAGGGGAAACAAGCATATGAATGTGCTCGATGTAAATTAATAATTTAGTAGCGAAGGAAAATTAATACCAGTAGAGAAGTGTGTTCAAGCTAACATCATCCAAGAGAGATTTGAAATCTGCCACCACAAATTCTCCCCGTGTTATTGTCCCGGTTTTGTCAAAAGCCATTATCTTTATTGAAGCAAGAGCTTCGAGATATTCCTCCCCTTTAAAGAGGAGACCTATCGTTGCTGCTTTTGACAGTGCACATAACATGGCAACGGGTGTAGAGAGAACAAGAGCACAAGGACATCCACTAACCAAAACAACGAGGGCCAAGTGGTACCATTCTTTCTTGTTGGGAACCTCGAATGCAACAGGAACTAATGCCAAAATTGCAGAAATCACCACTATCACTGCAGAAATCGTGAAGTTCAAGTTGATTCACTCAATGTTGCAGTTCTTTTTATCTTTTTGTTTTTGGTGTGACAAATATAGGCGTTCAGAAATTATGTTTTATAAGTTGGTAAAATTAAATAATTTACCTGGTGTGTAGTACTTGGAACACTTGTCTATAAATCTTTGGGTTCTCGATTTGTTGTTTTGAGCCTCTTCTACAAGCTTTGCCATTCTAGCAACCACGCAATCTTCAGCTATGGCCGTAGTTTTAACACTAATGTAGCCTAAAATACCCACAATAAGATGATCATTGGTAATCGTCAATCAACAATAGAACAAGTGTAAGTTCAAAAGACTACCGTTAAGATTGATTGTGCTAGCCCAAACAACCGAATCCTTTTGCTTAGACACCGGAAACGATTCTCCGGTCAAAAATTTTTCATCTACTTCACAGTTTCCATCTACGACAATTCCGTCAATGGGGATAATTTCACCAGCCTTAACAGCAAGAATGGTGTTCAACTTGACTTCTTCAGCATTGATTTCTTCTCCTGTATCAGCAAGGATAGCTCTTTGAGGTACCACATTGACCAA